GCAATCTTTTGTCAGCTAAATCAGACACAATCTGCAGACAGAAACATATTATCGTGTACATCATTTTCAAATAAAGCAATGCACATGCAACACACTGTTGTTTTATCTGGAGGTGTACTGAATTAAATCGAGAATGCTGTTGAGCCCATCTAAAAGAATAGCTGTAAAAAATTGTAATAAGATGATATATCATCTGTGTTCCAAATAGAATAAATATAGGAAACTAAGACTTTAAATGGATAGTCTCTAAAGGAAGTCAAGTAATTAAACATGATTCCCCATTCCTTGCCCCAAAGGATAATTTAGGGAAAATGTAAGATTAGAAGGTCAAAATAATAGACAAGTACCAATCCTTTTCAATGACAAAATGTAGACTATGTAAAACAACAGAAGTCTTATGGTCTGTGAGAAATTTCAGTGATTTGGGAACTGATGATATTTTTATTAGTCAATGAGAATTTTTTCTTTGGTTATCATGGAACTGATGCTGTGTCTCCATTGTTTCAACAACCTTTTCTCTGGCATTGAATGCAATGTCCCTGCCATTATATCCATTCAGAAATCTGCTAGACAGATGATAATTTTCCTAGTCCATGGCTTTGATTTCCTTCTCTCCACAGACCCTCTCTGCTCTTTTGCCTAGAACTTAAGCTACATGTCCTCATTTCCTATACCTACCAAGGCCTGTCACTGCCCATCCTATCATCACAGGCTTGACTTCTGACAAATAGAAAGATGCTTGGGGTAAACAACAAAGATATTTTTTTCAAAACCTAAACCTCAAGGAAACTTCAACTCTATGTTTCTAGGAAAGTTTTCTGAAGGCCAGTGGATTGGATCTCCTGAGCTCTGAACACCACTGGAAGAGGTAATTTGATCTCCTGAAATTCCTGTCCTTTCTGACAGCAGGCAGCTCTAAGTATTTATTTTAGAACTTTTCCAATCCAAGTATGGTGTTGATTCACAAGCAGTGAGAGGTCAATGGCTCATGCACACTTTGCTAAGACCCACAGCAGTCAGACACGCCTGCTGGGTGGCCTGACCCTCCTGCACCCTTGTGCCCTCCCAGACTGTCAAGGGAGTGTCTTGGCTTTGTGTGCGGAGGACACTGGCCCCTTCTCTTGGGAGCAAAGCATGGAACAGCAATTGGCACTTGTTCTGAGCCCAGAGAGAGGGACAAACACAGTCTGGGTGAGCAAAGCAATCAGTATATGCCTGTGATAGCATTGACATGAGCTCAACTAACCTGTGCTGACAGATGAATGTGAAGTAAAGCCAGAATCAATATTGGAGCAAGAAGAGGAAATGAGGGAGATTGGATGCCCAGGTGTATGGAACAGGGGCCCAGACCCAGACATCACTTGGTGTTGCAGGAGCTTCAGCATGGTTCCTACATGCTTTCAGTATTTTTTGCTTAAAATATGCAGTCATTTCTCCCATCCTTTAAGATTATGTCAGATGCAAGACTTAGACCCATAAAAGGCAACATCTGTGAGCAAAACCATATGAGCTGTGCTTGGTACTGCAGCTTAAGGAAGATGGCACCACTGTGAGGGCCACTGGCTCCCACCGTACTTTTAGGGAAACTGGGTATCATGAACATCTGATGGTTTGAACGGTGGGGGAAGACAGGGAAGGAGACCCTAGGCACACCTGCATGTGGGAATAATGTGGGTTTGGGTTGGAAGAGACCTTAAAAATCATCTGGTTCCAACCCCTTTGCCATGGGCTGATACAACATCCACTAAACCAGGCTGCTTGAAAACCCATCCAACCTGGTCTTGAGGCTGATTTAAAGTGTGCCATGGTTTTTGGCAGGGATGAATCTTACTGTTATTAAATTCCCAACCTGTTTACAGATCTGAAGCACATTGATGCTGTGAGCAGAAAGGGCCTGTGCTATCATTGCCCAGACTTCAAAGGTTCACTGGAAGAAGCTAGACCTTGGCTGAATATCTCCGAATCCATTTTAAACTTCCCCAACCAAATCCCATTTCTTTCTAGACAAATGTCCTTTGTTTCAGTTGGTGCCTCCAGCAAGCTATCAGAGTTCTTAGCTATTATTTTTGAGATTGTTCACTTCAGCTCTCCTACTTTCTGCCCAGAATTCACAAGATAACCTTTAATTTATTCTGCCTAAAATGAGATAAACCATGAGTGACCAGTCTCCTGGGGCTGTGCCATTCTGTAGTGAGCCTTATGTAAAAGATACAGGGCACATTCTCAGCACTGTGTGTTGTTATTAATGAAGGCTCTCTGCGCAGCTCTTTGTCCATCACAATGAAAATTTACCCTCATGTATCTCCTAAATCTCAGATGTAGATTTCACTTGCAGCATTTTCGGATATTCTTTGATTATTTTTTTCATATTAGGGGACCATAACGATAAATCCCTGCTCAAGTGAATATACAACTAGACCTCCTCTGACACTAAAATTTGCTAGTTTCTCTTTTTGGGCTTAAAAAAATTTGCCTTTCAGAGCTATTCAATAAGATAAATGTTAATGAGAAAAATTTTAACAAGACAAGCCCTGGCAGTGACCCTCTTGGATCTAAGCAGTGCTACAAACTCAGGGCAAGCCTGATGCATGAGGAACATCTTGCAGAATATCACTGGCCTTCTGTTCTATCAGCACTATAACTCTAGAAACAAGGCTCTTAATGAGGAAAGATCAATCCCAACAGGAAAACCTGTGATATCTGACATCAGTAGACAAGCATCCATGCTGTACAAACCACCACCCCCCTGACGCCAGCCCCTGCTTACAAAAAATAAAATAAAATAAAGTAAAATGGTGTCATTTTCATTCAAAGTTTAAAGACTCAGGATCACTTCATGTAGCATTTAACTATCATTTCAGTCAGGCTTTTGAAGCTGTTTAAGTTCTTTTGTACCCGAGTTGTTTAATGTTACTCAGACAAGGTAAATCAAAGTCTAATAGAGTGGAAAAACAGTAAAGGCAGAAAATAGGTAAAAGATAAATCACACAGGAAGTTTTGCTTTTTTTTTTTTTTTTGTTATTATATTCATTGAGATCAAAGTCCTTGTTTCAGCTCTAATTAACAAAAGCTAATGCAGATTGGAGACCTTCTGGCACTGAGCAGAGCCTTGGAGGATACAGTTGAAATCTTCTGAAGATTTAAATAATTAATATGACACCTTGAGCTTTGGATGGGAAAATAAAAAATAAAAAAAAAAAGAAGAGGGGAAAAAAAGAGCCCCATGTTCAAGTTTAAGAACAATGCCATTGCCAAGTTTGATACCATTTGTTCTGATGAAAATGAGCTGAGTAGATTGCACCGACTTCATTGTCTGGTACATTGGCAGTTCAGTGGATTGTTTCACCTTTTGTCATGCTAAGGGGGTCTTTTGTGCAGTACTTTGTTACCCCCAAGTCTGCCCCAGTTGAAGGAGGATAGAAAAAGGCAAATCTGCTTTAGGGACTTGGAGGATGGTCATTTAATGGTTTTTAATCCTCTTAATCCACGTAAGAATGGAGATCTCTGAGTGAAAATCCCATCCCAGAAGTCCTTATGATTCAAATGCCTGGCTCAGGAGACTGTCTTTTGAAAAAAAAAAAAATACAGCAAAATATTCTCCACTACTGTGGCATTGTGGTTTATTTCTCTCTGGTTTTCTGAAGCTGTCTGATGCAATATAAGCAACATGAAACTGAAACCTACTTCAAACCCTGTGAAGTAGAAGAACAGAGAGTGCCCGGTGCCAGTCTGTGTGTTTGGGGTACTCTGGTGATTCGGCTTGATTTCATAAAAGTGATAAGGACCCTCTTTTCTGATTGTCTCAACTGTATGCAAATCTATCCTAGATTTTGGTGTGCACTAATGCCCTCCCCAAGCTGTTTTCCACTCGAGTATTTTCTAGGTAATTTAAATCCTCTATTGAGGTTGGATATAGATTACTTCTAACTACTACATAACTACATGCATAACTACTACGACATAATCATAGCTAACCCTTACTTCTGAGCTCATTATTACTTCATAAGACTATGATTTACCTTCCCTGTCACCATAAAAAACATAAAATCAATATAACTAATTAAATAAACCACTAAAGAACTGCTAAGAGGCAATATTCATAAGTAAAATTAAAGATCTGAAGTCAAAGTGGGCTTTTCTTCCTCTCAATACATAGACTTGCCATTGGCCACAAAAAGTTGACTTTAAATAATTTTTCAGTTACACACAAAATGAGGCTTTTCATTTGTTCATGTATTTCATCACTTCATTTTTTAGAACTGGTTGAGAAAAGGGAAAAATACAGCTTCCAACTTGTAAATTACTATGTAACAGATACAGAAAAGAGTAAAAATGACAAAATTTCTTTAAAAAAAGGTGTATTTTTAAATTTCCCTCTATAGAACCTTTAATCTAAGTAGAAAGAAAATTATTTTAGAAAAATTGCATTATGAAACAATTCAAAGTGTGTCTTAAAAAATTGCTGCTCATTAATGCAATGCTTTCTGTTCCAGTTAGTTCACTGACAGCCATTTCTGAGCATCTATTCCTACATCCCTCCCATGCCTCTGAAACAACAGATACAACTCCAACAATGGCTTCCCAGGATTTTAATACAGGTTTTCTGAAAATTCAGGCTGCATAAAACCACAATCTCTCTGAAGTAATTTCAGCTAGATAATAATGCCAAATCAGCTAGATATTAATATCAAACTATTCTAGTCTCCTTCAAGAAAAACTGACCATTATTTTGCTTTTTCCTCTACAGAAAAAGGTAGGCTACTCATGCTGTCTTTTTATACATCCCAGAAAAACTTTGTCCCTTTGATGAAATTTCTGTGTTTCTATCTGAATCAGGTTAACATCTCATTTGAGATTAGAGGGAAAGTAACTGTTATGTGCAGTTACAGCCTGGAAAGCCAACTGCAACCTGGGCTGCACCTAAACAGGCAGGTCAAGGGAGGTGACTCTGCCCCTTTACTCCACTCTGCTGAGACCCCACCTGGAGTGCTGTGTGGGGAGACCTTATAGGAGCTCTACTTTTTAAAGGGAGCCTACAAGGAGAGGGACTTTGTTATGGTGCATGTCACAAAGAACCCATGAGAGCAACCTGCACCTTCAGGGACACCCGGAGAACACCACTAGAAGGGTGGGTCATGGGGCAAAGGCAAAGGGACAGGTCCTCGTTTGGGTAGCTGAAGACTCTTTATTCCAGGGGTAAGAACAGCCCCAAATGAATTCAGCAATGAAAACAGATCAGGCTGAAGGCACAGGGTTAAATATGGGGCAAACAGGGTGGGTCTGAGGGTCGAGGTCCAATAGGGACAAGGGAAAGTGCTGCAGGGGAATGGCTAAAGACCAAGAGAATCAATGGGATAACAGGGGTGGAGCAATGCTGCAAAACAGGGCCAATGGGGGTTAAGGGAAGGAAGAACATTCTAGGAAGGGTACATAAATGGCAAATGGGGGCTGAACAAGGGTGATGTTATTTTTTACAAACCTTTATAATACCAGAACCTGAAAGGTAGTAACAAATGACTGCAAAAGCCCTTGGGAATAAGGTTTTCCTCACCCTAATCTATAGGGGTGTCTCTCCTCTCTTGTGTTATTCCCTCCAGGGTTGAGGCATTTTGATAACAGGCCCCTGGGGCTCCACAGGACTTCACATGGCATGTAGCAATGGGACAATGGGGAATGCTCTTAAGCTAAGGAAAGTAGGTTTAGATTAGATATTTAGAAGAAATTCTTTTCTCTGAGGGTGGTGAGACAATGCAACACGCTGCTGAGAGAACCTGTGGACTCCTCATCCCTGCAAGTGTTCAAGGCCACGTTGGATGGGGCTCTGAGCAACCTGGCCAGTGGAAGGTGTCCCTGTCCATGGCATGGGGGTTGGAATTGGATGATCTGTAAAGTACCTTCCAACCCAAACCATTCTATGATTCTGTAAGTCTATATTATAATATCTATATTATCTATATTATCGTCAGTGTGTATGCTTCCTCATTTTTCTAGTATTTTACAGCTTCTATTGAAGCCTCACCTTTGCTGGGCTGAGCCTTAAAGGGGATGTGCTGTCTTTCTTGGATCTCTCATGGTATTGCCTGGAGATGAAGGAGGCACAAAACAGCAGCTGGGCTCACATTTCCTGACTCACTGCTTCACAATGACATGGCTGCAAATGACAAATGTTGGATGGAGATGGCATGCATGAGGAAAAGGTGAGTGCTTGTATCCAGTGGTGGAAGGTTAGCTACAGGTAGGCTGTGATTACCTGGATGTAGCGTAGTATAAGTCATACCAGACTGACAGCAACAAAATTAAGGGCTGAACTCAAATGGCTTTATCCTTTTTGGAAAATAGAGTGTGTGAAAGTTGATAGAGTTTTTTGTCATTATGGAAAGAAGTAATGAGTTGATAATGGAATATTTTTTAAGAGGAAACTGAGAATATAATGCAGACATGAGGAAATTCCAGCACTACTATTATGTGCAGGAAGTAATAAACAGGTAGAATAAATTACTTGGAAAGGCTATTGAGAAAAATAATACAAATGACAGACAAAGTCACCTAGCTTTTCTATAGGGAGAGAGAGTTTTGGAATACAAGGGAAATAACTAAGGAGGAGAGAGATGAGCTTCCAGCAGTCAGGTGTGCTGAGCTGAGAAAGACCTTCCTTGGTTATAAACCACTTTGTGTTTGCAAGAATGGATGGGCAGCACTGGCAGTGCCAGCCTGCGCACTGTGAGGTGCCTTGTGCCCAAACTATCTTGGGCACAGCATTTTCAAAACCAGAGCTGCTGGGGACACAACCTTCTGGCCAAACATTATGTCAAAAAATGGCTATGAAAAGCGACTCTTTGCATATTTCCCAGTCCTTCGTACACCAGCCAGTTCTCCCCTAGGAAACTTGCTTTTGTCTCTCTGGCCTCTGCAGCTCCATCAGCGGGACAGGTCTGGGAACGCCCCCAGCAGGAACCACTCGGGGAGTCAAGAGCGCACACGTTTCACACAAAAAAATCCCTATACTTGAGACAAAAATGGGCTACATCTCTGCCTGTGTCCTCTGTTCTCCTCCCACTGGTGGTAGTAGTGCTGTGGCAGGTGTTGGGGGGTGGAGGTTCAGCATAATCCCCCATGACCCACAGCTCTTGAATAGGCCATGTTTATTTCTGAAGTGAATGCTTTTCTTTTCTTTTGGACTCTGCAGTATTGACGCCATCCTGCAGCATGGGCTGGTACCAATTTTTTGTTTATGGACTATAATCTCCCCACAATACGTACTTACTTCAGTGTTAGGAAAGCACAATACAACAACAGTTGGTCAAGAATCTGACTGAAAATTACCTGCTTTAAAAAAATGTTTTCAAATCTATTCTGGAATATGTTGGAGTTTTCTTTGAATAATAACTCTATTGGAAAGGAATTATTTTTGCTCTCTCTTTCTTCTATGAAAGCCTTCCTCCTGTTAAGGTGCTGTAAATTAATAACAACCCCTCTTGGCCCTCAGGATGAGAACACACTTTTTGCAGACTGCTCCTATTCTGCCTAGAAGCTGTCATTTTTAATGTGACTTTCCAAAGTTTTATCAGCAATTCCCATTCCCTACGCACTGTGTTCTTCATAGAAATGCACATACTGTTCTTCAGACTCTGGTATATATATTCAATCATGTGAATCATAAATTTCTTATTTCTCATGAAGATTGCATGTTTGTCACTATTTCTAATTTTCATATCCTTACCTGACAGGATTCTTTTGGAATGAACAAAATATAGCAAGAGCAGAAACGTCTTGAGAGAGGCTTATGCAGGAGGAGATAGGGACAATAAACAGATATCACACACAACACAATATAACGTAACAAGTAAGGGTCTGACTCAAGTCACTTTAAAGGACACAGAGTAGCCCCTTATTACCAAACTACAAAGGTTGCAGTAACTCCTTTCCCCGAGGTAGCACTGCTATCAAGAGAAAGACCCCTAGTAGTATTTTTATAGCCTTTGCTTGAAATGTTTTTGAAGGAAAGCTCTGACTTCTAAAGAGTTCTGAAACTGTGTGGTGTCTCAAGATAGATCTTAATGAAATTTGCCGCTATCAAAACTAGACTGCCTAGAATATGGCAGAGCCTATTAGGACTGCAATAACAACATTGATTTTAGGGATTTTCCCCTCCCTCCAAATACACTGCACACTTTTTTGATGTATGAAGAGACTGAAGCTTCTTAAAAGATATTTTCAATGGGATAGTTCTGAAGACTTCAGATAAAATATTTCAACACAGTACCTGCAGGGACAGGAGAAATTGCTTCAGTTCATTTTGCCTTAGTTAGAGTCGTGTTAAATCAACTGCTCTTGGCATTTGCAGGACTTTGTAGACATTCTTTCAAAAGTGTTTGAAAAGCTTCAAATAGATGAAGGTCTTCAAAAGGCAACTTTCACATGGGATTGACATCAGTAATGCTCCAAAGACTGTCCAAAAGGGCCAATACATGATATAAATGAAGCTTTATTACCTTTTTGTTCATCTCAGATACTAAGCATGTTCTGTCTTTGTTACATGATCCATTTGCTGCTAAGAGGATACCTGATACATATCCTGATTACTAGGACATGAGGGCCTGATTCTTCATAGCCTTGAAGGAGATACAGCCATTTGTATGTGACTTTCATGTGGTGAAAGTACATATGTAGTCAGTAATTTGAAAAGTTTTTCCACCAGGAGCAGTGAGAACACCAAGTGCTATGTAAATCAGACATGGTGACATCAGTTCCCTTGCATTGCCTTTCTTTTTGGTGATGTGTAATGTGGCACAGTCCAATTTAAGTTGAAAAGAGCAGTGTTTCAGTCTGAGCAACTGCAACATAAGATGCACTTCTCAAGATATGCAGAGTCAGGGATCTTGCCAGCCCCATTCACACAGACAGCTCCCATTATATTTTAGCAGATTTATTCATAAAAGTAAGGATTTTGTAACTGAAATTCACAAACAGCAAGACTTAAATGACATACCACTAGAAAGTCATACTGGTATAAATTCCTGGAGTCTAAACAAGAGGTTGTATTTGCTCATCCATTCTTGTGTGTGTGTAATTAAGCCACACTTATTCTAACAGAGGGAGGAGGCATCTTGCTGCATTGCTGCCTGTTTCTAGTGGGAAAGTGTGAGATGCTTTCCTTCCCACTGGAGGTGGGAAGATCCGGTGCAGGTCCTTGAAAAAGACTGTACACCTGAATGCAGGATGAAAATTTGCTTTCCTATGGAAGTAGTCTTTGTGTTTGTATAGGGAAGATGGTGACTGGATGTGTATCCTGTGGTATGAAGAGTTCCTTTAGATAACTATTGCCTGACCCTGAAATTCACCCCTAGAGCCTGATACAGACACTTCTATGAAAAATCAGTTTAAAAAACACAGAGGAGCAATATAACCATAGTCTTAGTCAATATCATGTCTCTAACAGAGATATCGCACCACACTGCTGTGGATTTTTCCTGATAGATCAGTGTGCCAAACTCAGGTTTTTCACACCATTTTAACCTTGTTATGATGTGAGAGAAAACTGTATAACTGAAATAGAGTGGTGTCTATCCACTTGTAATAAATTTGGTCAGCAGCCTGGAAATTCTGTTGCTTGTGATAAACAATCCTCAAAGTGGCACATTCTCATAAATATGCAGCTCTTGCTGCACGACTTTAAAGAAAACTTTTTTTTTTCTCTTTGATCACAGACTTAGAGACATACTTATTCTTCTTAGTAGGAATCAGTAGATTTATGGCCGGAATGAGTGTGAATCACAGAGTTTCTCAAAAGTGCAGTAAAGAGCTTAGATACAATAATATCAGGAGTGGCCTTTAAAATGAGCTATAAGAGTAAATTAAGATAAAAGATTCACACTGGATGATGCACTTTCTCGTTAATCCTTACTGTATTTACAAAAGGTTGCTATAGAGACCAGAGAAGCAAGGTATTTTCTTTCCCTGGAAAAACAAAGACATCTTCATATTTTCTTGTCAAATCTCTCTTGCATTTTGGGGCTTTGAAGCAGCTTTGATGAAAGTGTTTTCGGAGTGAATAAGAACAGAGGGCAGTCTCCCCATGATGAAAGTACCTGTTGGCAATCTCTAACCTAGGCATCTGGGAAAGTTTAAACTGAAAGGAAAGAGGCAGAAGGTATTGTTCATTTCTGTTCACTTGTTGCACCTTAGTATATCCAATTCATGTTTAAAGTTTCATATATGATCCTAGAATGAGAGTCTAGTTCTTTCTTTGCACTCAAGAGCTTTTTACTCTTTATAGAGTCTTTACTAAAACATTTTATTATTGCTCAAGATGAGACTTGGGGATGAATCACTGGTCCTTTAACTTTTGAAGAATCACAGAAGAATTCAGGCTGAACATTGAAACTATCTGCTCCAGACCTTTGCCCAGAACAAGGCCAGCTCTGGGGCCAGTCCAGGCTGCTCAAAGCTTCGTCTACTTGGGTTTTGAAAACCTCTGGGGATGGTATAGCCTTTCAGGGGAACTTGTTCTGCTGCCTGACTGTTATCATGGGGAAAAAACTCCTTACACCCTGAATAAATCTCTTTTGTTACTATTTTCCCCATGATCTTTCAACCTCTCCCCCTGTGTCACTGGGAACAGCACCTCCTCCTTGATGACCCTCTGTAGACACTGGTAACCAGTGGTATTATTAGGGATCTCAGCCCAGCTCCTCACAGGACAAGTGCCCCAGCATGCCTCCCCTTGAGGCCACTCCAGTTTTCCCTTGTCTGTCCTCTGCTGGGAGGGCCAAAACTGGATATAATATGTAGATGTGGTCTGATGTCACTGTTCATGCAACTCAGAGTGCAGTCAACCTTGTGTCTGCTAAGAAGCACTTAGGCTCCGAGTGTGCTCTCCACCAGGGTCCTTCAGTTCTTCAGAGCAGAGATGTTCCTCAGCAGTCATTCTTGACATATTTGTCAATGTGTGGGACTAGTTCTGTGCTCCCACATTTTTTTCTTTCCATCTTATGCTGAGCTCTCTTTCATCACATCTTGCAATGTCTTTTTCAAACCTCAAGCCAACTGCCCACATTAATCCTTGTTTCTTCTTTCTCTTGAAGGGGAACTATGCGTTTTTGGTGCTGTTGTACCCACAATGATTTGAAACAAAAGCCTTCATCTGAAATACCTTATGACAAGGCTTTTACTCATTTGAGGTTTGCACTTGATACAG